GGGAGAACCACTAGTGATGATCACCTGTCACCCCTTCCAGCCAGGTTATGTTATAAACTGCCAGAGCTCAAGAGAGAAAAGTCATTGTCCAAGCTGTGGTCCTGGAAATGAGGAGGTAGCCGCCAATGAAAGGTCAGTGGCAGAGACTGGCTGGCCCAGGGTGCAGGCTGGGTGTCGCTGTGTGCCTGTCCTCAAGCCTCAGGCTCCTTGTCATCAGAAAACATGGGGCCCTAGGGCAAGTCCCATGGTTCAGGGATCAGGTTCAGCTTGCTCAAAGCAACGTCCTAAGCTTGTGGGATCTTCCTGTTGCTGCTAAGTGCCCTCAAGTCCACCCTGACGGTGAGCTACCCTATAGGACACAGGAGACGTCCTTCCTAGCATTTCCCAGGGTGTCATCTGCTGGGGAGCAGGCTGCCAGGTCTTTTCTCCTGTAGAGTCCTTCGTGGGTGGTTTTGAACTGCCGACCTTTTGGTTGACAGTGGAGCGGCCAACGACTGCATCCCAGGGCTCCTTCGTGGGGTCCTAAGCATTCGACACACATTGGGAGTCATTGCTGTGGATCCAACAAGATCATGCACGTAAAGCCCTCAGCAGCGCCCTTGATAGAAGCTCAAGAAGAGTAGCTATGTTGTTAGCTGGTGATGAATCAAAAAGAGAGAAGAAGAAGTGACGCCTTTGAATCCTGATGTGAGAAAGGCTAGGACACATGCCAGGGGTGGCCAGGGGCACAAAGAAATCTGCGTTGAAAGAAGTACTCTTTAGAAGGCTCATTAGCAGGGAGGGTAGTGACACTTGGTCTGGGGCATGTCAACAGGAGGGCTCAGACCTCCGAGAAAGACATTGTGCTCAGTCAGCAGGTCTGTGAGAAAGAGGAGGCCCCTCAGTGAGAGGGATGGAGATGTGGCCACAGTGGGGGGGTCAAATATTGGGGCGGGCAGTGCTCTGATCCATTGGACACTGGGCCACCAAGAGTTGGAACCGACCCAACGAGCAACTTTATGTTCATCGACAACGTGGGGAGGCAGCATGGACTCTCTGGGTCATGGAATTCTCAGGGAACACCGTAGAGGGTCAGTTTGAAAACCCAGAATCTGAGAGCCCTTGGAGGTGCCCCGAGGTCTGCTAGGAACATAGGAGCATCCTCTGGTCGTGCCCAGTCCGTCCTGCCAAGATCTCTGGCTGTCTCTAGTTCCCTGGCTGGGGCTTTCCCACCAGAACTTTAATAAGGAAAAGTGGGGGAAGTCACAGCCAGGTTCAGGTCACTGCTGAACCATCTAGCCAGGCCTAATTAATCGATAAGCCGAGCTGCCACTTTCCTGCCAACCAGCCTGCCTGAAGAGTACTTACTTCATCTGTGAATTGATTGCAGTAATTTTGCCACCACGACAGCTCATCCTCACCACCCACAGAGGTTTGGTGCCAAGGGGAGCTGCGAGGTGCTGGGCAGGGACCATCCTGCCACCTCACCTGGAAGGCTGGAGCTCCAGGTAGCCAGGTGAGAGTGCAGGTAGGAAACTGAGGCTCAGAAAGAGGACGCTGAGGGGCAGGGTTTGAACCCACGTCACCTGGCGCTAACACAGGGATCTGCATGTGGATCAGGCTAGGAAGGAGGATGACTGTTCCCTGTCCCTCTGGCCCTGTATCCCTTCAGGAGCAGGCTCCATTTCTGTGTCTGCATCTCAGGCCCTCCTAGGAGAGAGAGGACCCTCATCCTGGTGGGATGGCAGGGACATTGGGGGTCCTGAGGAGTCCCTCGGGGTGCAAATGATTAAGCAATTGATGACCGACTGAAAGGGTGTAGTCCCACCCAGAGACACGTGATTTTCTCACTGCCATCAAGTGGATTCCACATCACAGAGACCCAGTAGCACAAAGGAGAACTGATCCTGTGGGTTTCTGAGACTGTAACACTTGATGGATGTAGAAAGCAGTATCTTTCTCCTGTGTGGCAGCTGGTGGCTTTGAACTGCTGACCTTGTGGTTAGCAGCCCAACACGTAACCACACCACCGGGGTTCCTTCATCTCAGAAGACCGGTCTGGAGACAGTTCTATTCTGCACATGGGGTCACCAGAAATCCACACCAACTTGACGGCAACTACCAACCAGGCCCCGAGTCCTGCCATCCCAGTCAGGCCCCAGCAGCTGGCTCAGACATCAGGACCGCGGCCTGAGATGCCTACTAAGGTGTAAAATGGGGGCCTTGACCACAGTCATGAAGATGAGGGTGGTCCCAAGACCGGTCCGTACATGGCTGTGACACCAGGGAAGCCTGACGCACTCAGGTGCTTGACTGAGCAAGACTTCCCTGGTGTGTGTGGGTGGGTGGGGGAGGGGGGCTTTAATTAGCCTGACAGGTGCATCCCAAGAGCAGGGACCCCTGAGATAGATGGCCACACTGGATTAAGGGAGGCACAGAAGCACGCCTCGGCTCCCACAACAGTGGCCAGAGTTTCCAAACAGTGGCCTAGTGGTTTCCAAAACATCCCCGATTTTAAATTGGGAGGGACAGAAAACAGGGGAGTCAGAGCCACAGCTCCTGGCAGGTGCACCTGCTGCACCCCATCTGCCAGCTCTGAAATCTGCCCACCTTGAACCTGATTCCGTTTTCACCATTCACTCACTTTTGTCTTTGTCCAGCCGGCTTCCATACATGTTATCAAAATAAAATGCTAGCACAGGGCCCTGCTGCCTCTGCCCAGCCCCCACCCCAGGCACAGCCCCGGGAGACAGCTAGGAGGCGGTCCTTGTGTTGTCCGTCTCTTCCTCCCTCATCCTGCGATTGTTTTTCTCCCTAAACAAGTGTTATCCCAATGCATACTCCACATAAAAGGTGTATGCCCGGGCATACTAGATGTGCTACAAACATAGGATTATGCGACACACACCATACAGCCAACGGCCTTTTGTGCTCATCAGTGATGGTAACCTTGGGCAGGATTTAGAGCCTGCCATGGAAAGATGCCCAGGCTATGTTGTCCCAGCTGGTCGCTGAGTGAGGCCCCTGCCTCGGCCCGCCTAAGCCGAGCTGCTGGTGATTGAGGATGGTCCAACCTCCTTGGCACTCAAAGATGCCCCCCTTCAGCCTGCCACAGCCCTCTGGGGCCCTGCTTTTAACTATCCATATTGTGCTCAACAAATGCCTTTGTGGTGGTTGTTGCCCAAATTGTGCACCAGACACCGTCGTGAGTGGCTTACCAGCTTCAATTCACTGAACTCACCCACCTTCCCCAGACTGACGCAAATGGCTGCTATCACCCTACTGCACAGGTGGGCAAACAGAGGCACAAAGCAGCACTTGCCCAGGGCTTAGTCGGAGGATGGCCGAGCTGGGATCAAACTCAGATCTTCTGGTCTCAGAGTTCATGCTTCCAACCATTACCCCTGCGGGGCATGAATGGGCATCAGAAAGTCCTGGGCAGGGAGGTGCTTATGAAAACCCAGCTTGCTGGGCCCTACCACCTGGAGGTGATGATGCCGAATGTCTGATGTGGCGCCAGGGAATCTGCGTTTCCATGGAGCTCCCGGGTGATGCTTGCATGGGACCACCCTTGGGGAGCCCCTGCAGCACATGCTACTTCCCCCCAAAGACTCTTTCCCTGGAGTTACCTCGTGATGGGTGCCTCCCCAAGCTTCTCCCCTCAGTATAGACCAGGGCGTTATGCTGGGGCTCCTGGATGAAGCCTTGGCCCCCACAGACCGGAAGATAGTCTGGTGAAGGAGCACAGGATGGGAGCTATTCGGAAACCCACGACCTAAACAGTTCCTGGGTGACAAAGGCTGCCTTTAACTCCTGGGCCTCTCCAAAGCCTGTCCTCCAGACTCAGTTTACGCCCAAGTTGTGCACTCAAAAGCTGACGCAGCAATCCCAGGCTGTCTACACCCTGGCCACGCCAAGAACAGGCTGGGTTCCCTCCTGCGCCATAGGGCATGTCTCTCAGGCCTGCCTAACATGAGTGCCTTTGTGCACCTGGGTTTGGGCCATGCCAACTGGTCTGTGCCGATGATGGGGCTCTGACCCAAGAGCCCATTCACCGAGTGGATACACAGTGACTGACGGAGCCCCTCTGTGCACCAGCACCCGGTCTTACCTAGGCCCCACCCATCTCCTGCAAGCCTCCCCACTTCCCAGCGGCTGGGAGGAGTCCAGGGCACAGGGAGAACACAGACCCTCCACGCATCCCCCTCCCTCCATGCAATTCTGTGCGGCCTTGACCAGCCTGGGCCGCCCCTTTGCTCACCAGGTAACACCCCTCCACGCCCACCCCCACCCTCCAGCCTTACCGGCCAATGACCTCAATGTTGGAGATGGCGTAGAAGTACTTGTAGAGGTTCTCCCGCTGCACATAGGTGCCGCCCAGGGCGGGGCGCAGTAGCCTCATGCGCAGGTCCGTGAAGGTGAAGAACTCCTTGAGGCCCTTGGCGCTCTCCAGCCGGGTGTAGAGGTTGTCCATGTTGCGCAGGTCAGGGCCGGCGAAGATGGCGAAGCGGTCCCGCACCTCGAAGCGAACGTGCTTCTCCTTCTTGGAGCCGGCCCAGCGCGAGTACTCCTCGGTGCACAGCACCCGGTGGGCACTGGAGGATGCCAGGTCCCGCGCCCGGCGGGCGGGCATGTGGAAGGCCTCCATGCAGTCCTCGGCATAGAACTGGTACGGCTGCCACGTGCGCCCGTTGTCCAGGGACTTCTCCAGGACCATGACGGTGGGCCGGCCGTACTCGAAGGTCACCACCACGTCATCCGTCAGTTCCACGCTCTTGTTCCAGGAAAGGGTGATGTTGGCCTCCAGCGGGCTCGGGTAGCGGCGCCACGTGACACTCTGCCAGTACGTGGTCAGCCCCTCGTCCTCCTGGTCGAACATGAGCAGGGGCGGGTGGGCCAGGTCTGGGTTGGCGGCATCGCACTCATTGCTGCACAGGTACGGGTTCTCCTGCAGCGGGGCGGGGACAGCGGAGGGGAGGGGTGAGGGTGGGCTGCTCAGGCCCTTCCTAGGGCCACGACCCTTTCATACAGTGGTGGTGACCTCCAACCATAATTTTCGTGGCTACTTCATCACTGTCATTTTGCTACTGTTAGGAATCAGGGGGGACCCCCGTGAAAGGGTCGTTTGACCCCCAAAGGGGTCACGACCCACAGGTAGAGAATAGCTGAGCTAGATTGTGTGTCCCCAAGTCGTGGGCCTCAGGAAGTCTCCCAGGTGTGTAGCTTGTATCCATTTCCTCATTCTTCCTCAAGGTGCAAAAAACGATGGGCAACCTGCTAGCTTCCCAAGAAAGCACACGCTCTCCCTCCTCTCAGTCCCTGGGTTCATGCACTCGGCTGCTACCCAGAGGGTTGGGGGCTCAAGCCAACCTCCAAACACAGGCCTGGAGGTTTCCTTCAGAAAACTCACCCGTGACAGTTCTGTGGAGCACAGTGCTCTCTGACCTGCCCAGCGTCTCTGGGAGTGGAGGTGAACTTGATAGCAACTGCCTTGGTTTCGATACAATCTAGAAGGGAAAGTGTTTCAACTCCACTTCACAGCCCTCTGCTTCCCTGCTGCCTGTAGGAGCCAGCCCTAAAGCTCTGTGGCAGCTACAGAATCTCCTGTCAGCGTGTGAAGGGGTGGAGTTTCGCCTGTCAATCAGGTCGCAGCTTGATGACCTCATTTAGAGGCACGAAGGATATAAATAGCTTGCTGGAGTTAGGACACAGACACTCCCTGCCAGGCATTCCTGTTGACAAGCCACATGGAGCCATGCTGATGGAGCCAGAGTCCTGGAGCTGGAGGAGCCATGTGGAGATCCACGCCAGGGCTGAGATGCTTCCACCACCACTGGATCCACAAGACTCCCACCTCCCCCTCAAAAAAAGACTTCCCACCCACTGGCCTGTGATCTTTCTTCCTGCATTCCGCGTCATTGCATGTGCTGCGTGAGTCTGAAGAGGAATTTATGGACTAGTATCGACATATAGGTTAACATCAGACTTATGGACCCGATCTGGACTGGACTGGATGCTTTCTTAATGTACAATTGCTCTTTGATATAAAGTTCTCTCTTACACACACATGAGTGTCTCCCTGGATTTGTTTCTCTAGTCAGTTTTGACTAACACACTCCCCCAGGTTGAGCCCTGCCTGCCCTCCCTGGACAGGGCTCACCGGACCCTTCTGGTCCTCCAGCATTGCTTGTACTGCTGCTGAGCCTTCTCAGGTGACCTTCCCGCTCCTGACCTGGCCCTTCACACTCTGTCTCCAAAGTTCTCGCTCAATGTGTACACAGAGCTGCCTTCCCTTGGAAAGCTACCATCCGCAGGCAGCAACAATAGTGCTGCGGTGGAAGTCAAAGTCCCCAGTGTTACCTGATGCTAGCATTGTGCTGAAGACTTCCTGCTCCCAGTTCTCTCATTCCTCCTCACAAAGCAGGTGCATCCTCTCCACGCCCGAGATGGAGGAGGCTGGCCCTGGAAGCTGGCCGAGGTCCCAGCTGGGAAGAGAAGGACCACCCCCACCCTGTCTGATGCATCCTGCCCACCAGTCACTGTGTTCAGCCCGAAGCATATGCTTCTGTCTCAGGGAGCCCTGGGCATATAGGAAGGAGGCTGAGTGTTGGTAGGCCGGCTCCCTTCCCAGGGGTATGTCCTTGTGGCAAGCCATTCCTGGATGCCAGTGCATGTCTGGCAGGTTCCTCACAAGGGGCACTGGTTGAGGATGGCAGGGTCCACTCTCTCGCTCCCTTACTGTCCTACTCTACCTCTGACACATGCCTACTCCTGCCACAACCCCCACCCCCCAACTGAGCCTCCACCTCCATCCCAAGGCTGAGCTAGCTTTTGTCCCTGCCCAGTGGGCACCATGAGAGCCAAACCCATTGCCCTGCATCTGGTCCACTGGTGAACGCACAGTGGAGGCCTAAAAATGTCACTAATAACCACATCGCACCCTAGAAGACTGGCAGCCCCTTTTGATGAATATTTCAGATCCCTGGTTTGCTCGGAGACAAAACGGCTGGGATCTAAGTGAAAACCTCTCTCTCTGAAATAAATCATTTGGTTCCCTGGGGGTAGTGGACTCGTCACCTTCTGAGGGGCTGTCCTGACACCCCCTTCCAGCCCTGCACTGCATGTCACTGCAGCCAGGCCTTGGGCCATCAGCTTTGATCTGTTCCAGCCAAGGACAGGCTCCCAGGGGGCCAGGGCTCCTCGCTGGGCAGGGCTGGCCTTGGGGGTTACCAGGGAAGGTTCTATAAAGCACCCCTAGACCAAAATAGCTCTGTTCTCGGAGACCAGGCAACACAGGGGTTATAGGTTGGGCTGCTGACTCTGAGATCAGCAGTTCGAAACCACCAGCCACTATGCAGGCGAAAGATGAGACTTCCTCTGTAAAGAGTTACAGACTGGGAAACCCACAGGGCCCAGTTCTACCCTGCCTTATAGGGTCACCATGAATTGGCATCGACTCCATGGTAGTGAGCTTAGCTTTTTGTTTGGGGTCTCCCACAAGCCCATGGCCTATCCCACCCAACCGAGCCCTCCCCAGTTCAGAAAGCCCATGAGCCTCTGGTGGAAGAGGGTCCACTGAGCCAGTTTGATACCTCTTTGTACACACATGGAGATGGTGGCCTGGGTTTCCCTGAGAGCAGGTGGTGTTTCAGAAGAGACACCTGCACCTGGGTGGGATCTCACAAAGCAGGTGATCTCACGGGCTCCAAAGCTGGGCGCATGCTAAACTTCCTCACCTGGAGGCGGAACACCTGGGCAAGTCGCCCTGAATGAGGAGGGGACAGAGAGGCCTCAGGGAGAAAACTCAAAGGCGCACAGAGGCAAAGCCTGGTGAGGAGCGGGGAGACAGCAGCGCACCGGGGCCTGAAGGGGCAGGCGGACCGATGAGCAAGCTCCCTCCCCGGTCATCATCTCTTAGGGCAGACCCTCTGCCGGCCCACTGCAGTGAAGGTTGCTCAGGTGGGCCCTGTTTGTGCCGTTTGGGGGAAAGAATCAGCGGCCAGATGCCCTACAAGCTCTTCCGTGCGTGGTTGGGAGGTGGGGAGACCTGGAAGGACAGGGTTTGCAATCAGGCGTGGGGTCTTCCCTCTTTCGCCCACCAGCCCAGCAATGGCCCTCACCCTACAGGCTGAGTGCTCCCTTCTCTTACTGCCTCTAGAGTCGGAGGGGAGAGGCTGAATTGTGAGTTTGGAGCAATCCCACCTCTCCACCCCCCACCCCCAGCCTACCTCTAGAGTCCTCCTCCACTAGCCTGGTTTCTCAGTCGGCTGACACCGGGTGACTTCACAGGACTCCATCCACTTTATCATTGAGTCACCCCTTGCCAGGCACCCCTTGTCTCCATGCTTTAATCCTGTCACCACGCCCCTGCCTCTCAAGTGTCAGAACACCTCCCACACACTTCCTCCAGGAAGCCCGCCAGGTTTGCACACCCTTGGAGCCCAGCACCCTCATCGTCCACCATGGAGTTATTTAATGTCTCTGGAATCGCTTACTGAACTTATTTGTTCATGCCATCCTATATGACATGAACTCGTGGTAATAATTATGTTAACTGTAACACAGCTCATATTGAGTGTGGGTATTGCTGCTGTCAACCTCCAGCTTCTGTTAGCTGTCCATCCCACACCTCGCCTCTTTGTCCTTCTGCTTTACCTTCCCCAACCCCGCTTGGGCCTCCTGGTCCCTGCTGGGCATTGGGGGACAGGTCAGGGTCCTCACAGGACCCTTCCCAGCTCCCAGCTGTGCCTGGCCTGTCTGTCATCGGGAAGACTGACACAGCTCGGTCAGGGGCAGGGGGCCCCACCTGGCTGCCAAGGCCTGGCTGCCCCAACCTGCAGGACCTGCCTGGCCCCCCAGCCCCCGGCCCGGGGAAGCAGATGGTCAGAAGCTAATGAATCAGCCTGTGTATTTACCAGCCCCTCGCCTGCTGTGGAGCAGGCTTAATCAACAGCGAGTACAATAAATAAATCCCAAGCCGACGCCAACAAAATTCTCTCTCTCTCTCTCTTTCTCTCTCTCCTTTCCCTCTCCCATTTATCTTTCCCTCCCATCCAAGGATCTTGTAATTCATTTAACCATTTCAATGTTGTGGGAGGGGGGTACTGGGTCTCCTGCTGTCCCGTGTCCCCACTAGGGAGAACACCACAGATCCAGCCTGAGATCAGAGGCCCAGTATGGCGTACCCCACCTCCCACCTCCCTGAAGCAGCAGCTGACAGCTGACAGCCGGGGTGGGAGGGGTGGGAGGGATGAGATTGTCCCCCAGAGGGCACCAGCCTTCCTGGTCTGCACAGCCCCCCTCAGATAACTACTCATGAAACTCAAGTCGCTTCCAACCGAGGAGAAGCAGCCGCGGAGGTCTGAGGCTCATCCCTAACCTTTCCGGATGACACCAAACACGACCTTTGATATTATCGAAAGCAGAAATTGTTTCTTGAAGCATTTCATGGATTGAAAAAAAAAACCCCAGAGCCCTGGCAAAAGCCTTCGACTTTTCTTCAGAAAATGTTGTTCAAGAAAAAAAAGCCACACACCCAAACCCACTGCCCTTGAGTTGTGTCCAACTCACAGGGCCCCTGTAGGGCGGGGTGCCGGCACCTCGGGAGCAGAGAAAGGGGAGACGTAACTGGGGGTTCAAACCACCAACCTTGCAGTTAGCCACGAAGAGTCTAACCCACAGTGTCACCAAGATGCCTTACAAATCCAAGAAGTTCTTGGTGACTCAGCCTAGGGGCTATGACTCTCAATCTGCTAGGAATTCATCAAAACAAACAAACAAACAAACAAACAAACAAACAACCCTCTAAAACAACAAACTCAAACTCACAGCCATCCAGTCCATTCTGACTCCCAGCGACCCTCTGGGACAGAACAGAACCCGCTCTGGGTTCCCCAGCCTAGAACTTTGCATGGGAGTAGAAAGTCTCAGCTGTCTTCCTCAGAGCAG